CGCTGTGGATGTGGATCTGTGGATCGGCTTTCACCATGTCCAGCCTGGGGTCGTCACATGTGGTTGCCGCAAGCCCACCTGTCGCTCCTTCGTCGAATCCGCCAGCCATGCCGTTCTCAAGCCCACCGGCCGTTTCTCACTCTAGCCCACCCGCTGCCGCTCACTCTAGCCCGCCAGCCTCCGCTCACTCTAGCCCACCATGTGTGACGCTGTGTGTTTCGTTGTGAAAGCGAAACGACTTTGTTTGGCCTTCCAAAAGAGGACACAACTAGAAATCAGTGGTTAAGTTGTATTTACGTACGTAACCGAGACGTTCCCTATCTGTCGGTCACTACGAGTTATGTCATGATCGACATTATGGGGCCCTGGAAAGCACCACAACCTGAACCCCGTCACAACACCATGGCGTAGCCAATGTTGGCAAGTGGCCGCGTGTCAGACAAACACTATGCAAAGGTCTTAACCATCCCACCGCCCCAGCACAAATTCGCTGACCTTGGTACCCGCAGGGACCACAGGTGAAACTGACCCAGGCCTGGGGCAGTACTACATATGGAATGGGTCTCTGGGGCAGGTCCTACCTTAGAGTAGGGATGAAGCAACTGCCAGCAGAGACTGACAGAACTCTCTGTCAAAGGGAAGACACAGGTTTACCGAGAGGGAAACCTTACCATGGAAGTATACACATATGGGATTGCCCGCAGGGAATCAAGCCATATGGGCACCTAGCCCAGTACAGGGGCTGACCGGAGACCCGGGCAAGCTAACCGATACTGGGCCTGGCGTCAGACTGCTCCGCCCAGTCTGACTGCCGGGAGTGCTGGAGGATACTCCGCCAGGGTTCGCTGTCCGGGGAACTTACTGAAGGAGGAGAAAGGCGCTCGCATCCCTGGGTGAGGGGGAATGGCGCAGCAAGCGTGACGCCCGGCCAGCTCTTCCCACCGATTACCTGTTACCCAACATACGGGAAGAAACTGGCTCAATGCGGAGACTGTAGAATCTCGCGAAGGTGTTCGTTGTCGCCCAGCCCGCAGCTCTACAGATGTCTGCCAGAGTGAATAGGAGGAGGCAACACTCCGTGTGGAGTGAGCCCTCATCCCCAGGGGGCACGGCACACCTTGGGATTGGTACTTTCTGGCACCCCTCAGGAACCTGACGATGAGATCGTGCTTTCCCAGGGACCGGCCGTCCACTGCATCGTGATGTGCTGCGATAGCAGCCACATACTGTACACTTTCAAGGTGGAGGGTGACAGCCTACGCTTCAACCCTTCTTGCAGGAAAAAAAGCACTACTCCAGTCATGCATCTTCAGGGGTCTTCTTGGCGAGAAGAACACCAGTTCGCGAACAGACTCAGAGCATAGGCTTGCCTCGTAGAGCCTATATCCTGAGTGATCGTGTTAACCACCGCAGGTGACAGATCAGCTAAGTCTGCTGCGTCCCGTCCAGGAGCCACACGTGGAGGTTCCAACGGTCTGGACGCGGGTGCCAAATGGTGCCGAGCCCCTAAGAGCAGGTCCTGTATCAGGGGGATGCGCCATGGAGGGGCTGTCACGAGGAACATGAGTTCCGGAAACCAGGTCCTGGTGGGCCAGAAAGGCGCAACCAGTAAGACCTGCTCCTCGTCCTCCCTGACCTTGCACAGTGTCTGTGCGAGAAGGCTCACTTGGGGAAACACATACTTGCGAAGAGCCCGAGGCCAGCTGTGACTCGCGGGAAGCAAACAGGTCCACCTGGGCTTCCCCGAATCGAAAACCGCCACAGTGTTGTCCGTGCGGACCAACACGTGTTTGTCTTGCAGCAGTGGCCGGCACCGCCGCAAGGCTAGTAGCACTGCCAGCAACTCGAGGCAGTTGATATGCCAAAGCAGTCGAGGCCCTGTCCAAAACCCCGAGGCTGCCTGCCCGTTGCATGTAGCGCACCAGCCCGTACTGGAGGCATCCATCGTGACAACGACATGCTTAGACACTTGTTCTAAGGGCACCCCGGCCCGTAGAAAGACAAGGTCCGTCCAGGGGCTAAATGAGCGGCAACACGTTGGCGTAACGGTCATGTGAACTGTACCGTGGCGCCATGCTCACCTCAGGACTCGGAAGTGTAACCAGTGCTGAAGTGGTCTCATATGCAGCAATCCGAGCGGCGTGACTGCGGCTGCGGATGCCATATGCCCCAGGAGCCTCTGAAAGTGTTTCAGTGGTACCACTGTCCTGCCTCTAAGGGAACTCAGGCAGTACAGCACGGACTGGGCACGCTCGTTGGCGAGACGCGCCACCATACTCACAGAGTCTAACTCCTTACCAGAAAAAGAGATTCTCTGCGCAAGGGAGAGCTTGTTCCTTTCCCAGTTGAGCCGGAGCACTAGGTCCCTGTGATCACACAACTGTTCTCGCACGCGGGCCATGCTCGAGATAGTTGAGGATCGTGATGCCCACTTCCCATAAGTGCGGCAAGGGCGCCCTCAGTGACCTTCGTAAAGACACGGGGGGACAGGAACAGCCAGAAGGGGAGGACCCTGTACTTCCATACCTGACCCTCGAGGGCAAACCGTAGGAACGGCCTGTGTCGAGGGCACATCGAGACATGAAAGTAAGCATCCTTCAGGTCGACTGCTGCAAACCAATCCTGGGGCTGGATGCATCTGATGATGCGCTTCTGCGTCAACATCTTGAACGGAAGCTTGTGAAGACCGCATTCAAGACTCGCAGATCCAGGATTGGCCGGAGGCCACCGCCTTTCTTGGGTACGATGAAGTAAGGGCTGTAAAACCCCTGCTTCATCT